CATGTGGGGGAGGTCCTACAAAAGATGTGTTCACTTCAGAGGGCACCCTGGCTGTGTGTGCCCTGCCTGCAGAGCCAGCCCCACACACCTGCACGGTCTGCAGGCACCCAGGGGTGGGAGCAGCTGAGCACAGACTGCCCTGAGTACCCAGACAGAATGGCCTCTGCTTCAGCTGATGCTGAATATGGCCATTTTTTATCAAAAAGGCTTCAGTATTTTATTTTAACATATCCAGGTTTTACAGAGAAGACAGTAAACATCTTCCACAAAAGTATTGAAATCATGACTGACTCTGTTCTGTCCAGCTCACTGTCTGCTCTTTAAAGGAGCTGTAAGAAAACTGCAAGTAAACATGCAGATGTAGGAGAGGAGATACAGGCTGAACTGGGCTGGGAAATACTCTGTTAATACCTGAACACAGTGTCTCAGTACTCAATATCTAGAGAGAATCCTTCTCAGTTACATCACCATTGATTTTTGGAAATGGATAAGTGTCACTGGGAGCAAAATTTGGCCCATACAACTAAGTAATAAATATCTTTTTGCAGGAAGTATATTTATAAACAAAGAGTGAGCCTTGGATCTTCAGGTTACATTTGCAAAGCTGCTGCCTGAAAATTGGCATGGTTCCTTCCAGTCAAGTGATCTTGGAGACAGTTTTGCTGCATCACAAGCTGCAGTAGTATCTCTGAGGCTTTGGAAAGGAACACCAGTGTCTCTGCAAACAGGATACTATTTGTGAGTTTTAATTGGAACCAGTCCTGTTTGAAGGATGCAGACTTTGAAATAGCAGGGCTAACCTAAGAAAGCTGTTCAAGATCTATCCACAGTGTTCCCCAGATACACAGGGGTGAGGAGCTTACTGAGATCAAGGCCCAGCATGAGATCTGCTCTGAACTTGAACTCAATTGAACAAATCTTTTGTGTGTATATTATGTTTTGAAGACATTTGAGTGCTTCAGATATCTTCCTTCCTCCCTAGCTTGTCAAGGACTAGATGCAGAAGTATTATGAGACAGGCTTTTGCAAAGGGGGAATTGAGTCATAGAGAAGCTGAATGCCATATATTTAAAGTCACTGTTTGTCTTCTCACTTAACAAAACTGGTGATTAGAAGAGCTAAGGAGGAAGGAAATGGATGTTGGGTCGTCTTCTATAACCTTGTAATAGTTATGCAGAAACAACTGACCTGGCTGAGAACTTAATTTTAGCTTTTGCCATTTGGCTGGGAAATTCTAGCTAACACACTCAAATACACTGTTGCATTTTGGTACAACACTGTCTCTTTAAATGCTTCCTTAAAGCTGATGGTCAGTGACAAGATTTTTCTCTGCAAGTAGGTAGTTGTTGGTTACCTGTCGTCTTTGTTGCACAAGTGTGATTATCTTACAAATTCCTTTGAAAAGGGTTGCCAGCGCTGCCTTGGTTGCACTAATGGGGTCCTTGAGGCCTGAGATGAGGAAAATCCTGTTGATTGTGCACTCCATTCTCTTGGTGAGCACCAGCTGGGCTCTCCAGAAGCTGTCCCTGCTGACAGCCTGGGTGACTCTCATGGCCCTGGTGGGTATGGTCAAGTGCTCTGGTGGCTGGGTTGTTTCAGCTTACAAACCAGCACAACCCTACCAAAAAAACTCCACACCCCAAAACTCCCAAGCAATTAAAAAATGCCTGAGGAAAAAAAGAGAAGTAACGCCAGAATTTGATGGACTGAATAAATGGATATGCCATAGTAATTTCCAACAGACAGAAAGTGTGTTTTGGTGGAGTTAGTCAGAAGTAGACTAGCAGGACCAAGGACTTGTTAAAATGACAGGAAAACCTGGCCCCAGAATAGAGTATAACTTGAGCTATCTGTAGTTGGCATTTCTCTGCAATGTAAATCTGAGAGTTTTCCCAGCGGAATAGATCTTATTGTTCCTCCATCCATCACAGGTTTTCTCTAAGTTTGGGTTGGAGTCAATCAGTACAAAACACTTAAAATATGAAGTCTTACATGATAGTGAGTGTTCTTTTGTAATGATGCAGTGGTACATGAGAAATCTCAAAACTAGAATTAATGGAAGAGCAGATAGATTCCTCTGATCAGGAAAACCATAAATCTTAAGTCTTTTGGCTTTTGGTGTGTATTGCTTTGTGGTTTGCTTTAGTCTTGATTTAGACCAGCTTTAGAAAGTCAGTATCAGCCATTAAACCTTCCAGGCTATCTTCCCCTGTTTTGTTTTTTTTTTTCCCTGGTTTGGAAGTGAATAAAAGAGCTTTGTACAGTTCTTGAAACTGAGCCTGAAACAGCTCTGAACAAAATATAGTGTTCCTTTCAAAATCTTGGAAATAATTACATCATAGGCAAATTGGGCCAGAAACTGTTAATAGTATTCTTTGTGGGATGAAATCCCATGGGAGGACTTATTTCAGCAGACTGGCATTGTTTACAAATAGATGCAGTGACAGGTACAGTTGTCCCATTCTGAGGGACAACCGAAACTGTGGCCTATAATGGACTTCTCAGCACTACCTTGCTTTTGATAACAATCTGAAGCCTTGATGCTCCTGTGGTCACCCTCACACTGATCATCCTGGGAGGGAAGATATATTTGGCACTCGAAAACTACTTGTTGGTGGTTTAAAGAGAAAATAAAAGCCTTGCTTGCATAAGCTCCTGGCCTTTGAGAATTGTTGGAGATACAGGGAGCTGTGTCCAGATGTCTCTGCTGGGCTTCATGAGCTAGGAACTCTGCACAGAAAGCTGGGCATCGTGGACCTTCCCTTCAGCAGGATAACAAACACTGCACGTGTGGATTTCCCTGTACCATACAGTGGTTTTCATTACTGGCTTCCTCCCCCCCCCCCCCCCCCCCCCCCCCCCAACACATTCCTTACTGGAAAACCTTCTGCATTTCAGGATGGAAATCACAACGATTAGTAATATTAACTGTTTTACCTCAATCTACAAAAGCATTTAGTTCTCTAGGTAAGTAGGCTAGTCTGTACTTGAAAACTACACTGGCACAGGCTCTGGTCTGGGCACAGTTACAGCTGTTTCTGGGTGATACAAAGCACTTTACTGCCTGTGTAGGTGCTTCTGAAGGAGGGTGAGCTGTGTTCCTCCATCACCAGAGCACGTCTTTATCTGGACAGTGGGACTGTGTGAGCAGGGCCTTCTCTTGGGAACCAGATACATGCTGGGGACCATGGTTTTTCTGAAGGATCACTTTTCTTTCCCAGATGGTGTGATTCAAATGGCAGACACATTTCTCTCTGACAGCTGCCTCCAGTACATTACTCCATTAGTTACAAGTGTGTGATGTTTTCCAAACTTTTAGGCCTGAAGGCAAAGCTCTAGAGAGCAGCACCTGGTCAGTGGCTGCCTGTGGTTCAGTGTTAGCTGCAGTTACAGGTGGAGGTGAGCAGCCCATGGTGAGGGGAGGTCTGACACAGGGTGAGCCTATGATAGACATCCTCTTTGGATGGTGAACACCCATTGATCTACCAGCAGAGCAATGGTTTGAAATCTCCCTAATTTGCTGCCGAAGGTCAGGTCACTAATTTAACGCAAACCTGTTGAAGGCAGCTGGGAAGGTGCTCATTCAAACTGCTCCCCTGATGGAGGTGAGCAGCTGGGGTTAGTAGCAGCTTCAGGTGTGTGTTTGTGAATCAGGGTCTCCAGGATCCCTGCTCCATGCTGTCTGTTCTAGGGAGAGGACTGGGACCCAGCTGTTGCTAGAGTTTTCAGCTGTGTGACCTTGGGATGGGTCCATGGGATCCCAGGGAGATGTAGATATTTGGGAACAGATGCAAACTAGAGGTGTGATGTTGTATTTCATTTATTCTTTTCAATGGACTGGTGCTTTGAATCTCAAACCTGACGTTTTGGGATTTAATGTGGATGAAATTAAAAATGTAAGTCAAGTAATTTTAAAAAGTCATTATTTTATGTGTGGTAATTTAAAAATGGTAACAAAGGCTAAAATGCCCACATCATGAAAAACAGTCTGAAGTGAACATCTCTAAATGTTCCAGTTGATCATTTAGCTTTTACTTGTCAGCTAACATCAGTTAAGGCGATGTGAATTTCATTATTTCCTATTAATGTACTACCCATAAATCTGGAAAAATTACAGTTATATCAAAATAAATTTGGTTGTTGAAAATGTTAATCTCCGTTCTATTAAAAAAACCCAAAAACCAACCCAAGACCAACAGTGGAACCCCAAAAACGCTCAACTATGACAGCTTTACCTCCTGACCAAAGGAAGAGCAGCTGGAGCTTCAGGACCTCTCCATGTGACAGTCACCATGTTTGGTTGATAGTTGTGGAAAAAACCCTCCATCTTCCATAGCTGAAAAACAAGTTGCTTCCCTTTAAATTTAAGAGAGTAGCTGATGAGGGCAATAGCTTGTGTTACCTCCTCAGCATGACGAGAGATCCAGAACACATTCACAGTGATCTGCATGTGCCTTCTGTAAAAGGAGCTACATTGATTTTAGGGGATGGAAGACAAGGTGCCTATAGAATCATAATGTTTAAAAAGTATAGCCCACATCAGTTCTGAACTGTCTGAAATTATACTCTAATTTTGGGGTTTAAAACAGTTAATTTTATGAAGTGTTGCTGGCTACCTCTATCCCCTCAATGAGGACCTTGTTTCTTACATAATAAAAAATTATCAACTATGATGCCAGGTAGTTTCAGTAAGACATTTAACTTTTACTGTGGAAGTCTTTTTAAGAGGAAAATTTGGATTGCAAACAACTACAGGGAAATAGTTGTAAGTAAAAACTGCAAAAATGTATAACAGAGATAAAGAAAAATCTGTATTTTAATGGTAATGCTTTGATTTTTTAGAAATTAGCCACTCAGTTTATTTACAGCAACCAGTAGCAACCTTATTCAGAGCAGCCTTCTAACAGAGATTTTTCTCATGCCACTAGAAAGCTTTTCCTGCCCAAGCCACCAGCCTTGGCATCCTCCCTTGACAGCATGTTTTGTGTTGTGCTTTGCAGGAGGCTGTGAGGGCTGCTGAAGATGTCAGATAGTCTGGATATTGAAGAGAAACCTCCAGCTCCACCGTTGAGAATGAACAGCAACAATCGCGATTCTTCAGCGTTAAACCACAGCTCCAAACCGCTCCCCATGGCCCCCGAGGAGAAGAACAAGAAAGCCAGGCTGCGCTCCATCTTCCCAGGAGGAGGGGACAAAAGTAAAGTATCAGCACTGCAGATGGGGGCTCCCTCTCTGGGCTTTCTGCTGGTCATTGGGTTTTGTGTTTATTTTCTGCCACTGTTGTCTTTCTGTTTCGTTTGCAGGCCGTGGTACCAAAGCCTTCTGTTCCAATTACTCTAGAAACACATTTCAAAAGAGGAGGAGGTGTTCAGTCAGTTACTTTCTTGTCTATGAAAGGACACTAAAATGTGCACACATTGTGCAACTTGCCTTTTAAAAATAACTTTATAGTTATACTGGGGAATCCTTTCCTTTGGATTTTGCTTTGCATTAGCAGTAAATACAGAGATGAGGATGTGTCCTTGTGAAAATACATTCACAGAAGTGAGAGGGCAATATGCCTGACACTTGAGGATTTTTTAATGAGCTTACATTCCAAGAACAGGAACAAAGCTCTTCTTGCTTGTTCCTTTTGCAGTGAAAGTGGATACAGAACAGCTTGGTTTATAACCTGCTAGGTGTAGATGTAGCAAGAGAGTCTTTTAAAGATGCAGCAAACAGCATTTCAGTTGCATTCTTTGAAATGCATTTGTGGAAAGGTATGTGTTTTGAATTAGCTTATTTGCAGGTTTAAGGGAAGGGATCTTCTTTATTTCTAGTTCCATGGGAACTGATGGGCTGCACCTGCAAGGCTGATGTCACTGCAAGGCCACTCTTGATTGTCTTTGGTGGGTTGGGGTCACTGGGGGATATTCCTAATGATGGGATATCAAAGTGTTGATCTGGGGAAGTGAAGCCAGCCAGCCTCACCTTGGTCCTTGGGAAAGTGGTAGAGAAAATCCTCCTGGAAACTATTTCCATGCAAATGAAGGGTAAGGACATGGTCAGGAATAGTCAACATGGATTTGTGGAGAGGAATTCATGCTGAACTATACTGACAGCCTTTTACCTTGAAGTGACAGGCTTGGTGGTGAAGGGAGAGCAGTGGTTGTTACCTCTGCTTTAGTAAAGTGTTCAGCAGAGCTTCTCACCGTGTCCTCACAGACAGACTGGTGAGGTGCAGTATAGGTAAGTGTACAGTGAGGGAGATTGAGAACTGGCTGAAATGCTGGGCTCAGAGGTTGTGATCAGCAGCATGAGTCCAGCTGGATTTCAGGAGTGATGCTGTCTTCAGTGTCCCTCCAAGGAGAGCTCAGAGCTATGGAACTGTGGCCATTCCCTTGGAGCTGCAGCTTACCTGTGCTGCCTCATTCATGAGGCTTCATGAGGTTGTGTGGAGCAGCTGGAGTTTGGCATTTAAAACTCCTCACAGGCAGTAGAAGGCACAGTGGCTGTCCCACTCCTCCCCTCAGCCATGGGCAATCCTGATGACTTTTCTGATGTGAGAACTGTAACTGGATTTCTTAGGCAGACCCGGCCGGTTCACTCTGCAGATTGTTCCCCCAAATGTTCCCTTCTGGGAACAAAATTAATTTTCAGTTGATTCTTTTTAAAGGCCAAAATGAAGGTTTCTCCCAGCTTGTTTAATTCCTGGAAAGACTTGGATCACTTCTTCCCCTAAGTGCTAGCAGGATGGTATTATCCCTTTCCAAGGCAGAATTTCTTAATGAGGGGATGCTGTGTAAAATGCATGCAGAGAAGGGGAGACCCAGAAACAACCCCTCCTGAAAATGATCAGTGACATTAAAAATGTAATTAACTACCAGTCAGAGCAGTCTTAGGGAACATACAAGTGTCATGATTTTGAATGTGACTGTGAGGAAAAGTCAGGTAAGATTTATAGCTTAATTTTGTGAGGTGAAATAATAAATGGAGGAAGTTTAGCTTGACTGGCCAAGTCCCTTGAGGTAGTTTCACTGCAGAGTTGGTTTGTGGGTCAGGGTATCAGCTGGTCTGTGTGTGCTTCATAGACTCTGTGACACATTTTTGAGACTTCTGCTTATAAAACTGGTGATTGATATGTGTGCTCTCATCTAGTGCAGTGCTATGCAGCATCACTATGTTAAATCCATAGTTCATCACTGGTGCAAATCACTAGAATGTGAAGAAAACACCATGGCAGGGTATTTCTTCCTGAACCTGCAGGAGCTTTGTTGTCTTTCATTTGCTCCCAGACAAGAGGGATGTGAGGATGGATATGGTACAGTGTGTTCTCTCCAAGGCTGTGGTGTGTGTCAGGACTGCTGTGCCTGGCACCAGGAATCTTCTGCAGTCCCTCCCCTGCTGGAGTGCAGCATTTTCAGTTAGAGTTTGAGCACTTGTGTTTAAAACCTTGTTTTGGCAAGCCACTGATGGCACTGTGGAGCCTTCTGTGGATCTGCAGTTGCAATAAACCATTTAGGCAGTGGTGCCGTGCCCCTTCCCCTAACACATGACCTCCTCATGTTCCTTGTGTAGCTCCTCTCACTCTCATCTCTGACCTGAGGTACTCCAATTCCTGAGGACAGGAAGCCAAGGCAGACAACTGAAATAACTTTCCAGTGTCATGCAGGCAATTTGTGTGGAGTAAGGAGCTGAACTTGTTCTGCTGGAGCTGTGAAATTTGCTTTCCTGCCTCAGAGAGCATCATGGTGGTGGGAGCCACAGTAGAGTACAGCAGTAGTGCTTCAATCAGCAGAGGTGTTACCTCAGCAGAAAGGACAACTTGGTTCTTCCAGTTGTTTGATACAGGCTTGTTCTTTCATTAAACCCCCTGTGATGCTGTGAAATAAATTCACTCTGTGTGCACACTGGGGGCTCCATGAGGGCACTGTAGAGCATTCAGCCTAAAGAAGTCAGGAGGAGGCTGAGCTGCACAGCTCAGATGCCCCTTTGAGATGTCCATCCATGCTGAGTTCCTGGGTGGATGATGCCACTTCCATTGAAGCTGCTTTAGACTTGGCTGCAGAGGGCAGCAGAGTCCGGCACCTCCTGTACAGAAAAACCAGAAAAGAGGGAAGGAGGAAAACTCAGCAGAGTAAAGATCAATGGAGCAAGAAAAGAGGACAAGGCTACAGGAGGAGCAGGTTAGGAAGGAGGATGGAGGACAAGTGTGAGAGGCAGTGGAAGGAAGAGGGAATGGAGGAAAGAGCAAAGTGAGTTGAAGAGGAGGCGAGCAAACAGGAAGGCATAAGCATGAGGTCAAACCCTTCCTCTCTCTCTGAGAAAAGCTGCTACTTAGCTGAGTCACATATTTCTCCCAGACAACTGCTCTTGTAACGTATTGGTGATGATGGTGATGCAGACTGTGGAAAACAGAACAATTTTTCTGTGTTCTATTTTAACCTGTCATAGGTGCTGAGGTGGTGTGGAGGCCATACCTCATGGCTAACTTTGTGCAGCAGGAATGTATTGTGGAGGGCATTTAGAAGAACATCAAATAGGAATGTTCAGTACAAACCTCTTGCATCCAGTGAGTCAGGTGCTTCAAAAAAGTCATGTCTTTTCATATCATTTGCCAGCTTGTGTGAAATAGGCATGATATGATTTGCAGAGCCCAGACAGAAACATTGATGTTTTTACACTGGGAAGAGGTGAGGGTGTAGTAAAGAGATGCTTTAATTCTGTGATTCATTTGTAGTGTATCAGCATTTGGACCATAGGTGTTACATCACAGGTCCATGAAGCAAATGAGCCAGATCTTGGGGAATGAGCTGGATCACTTGTCCTCCAGCAGGAGAATCCTGGAATGAGCAAATGCTGCTTTTGTTGGAGCATTTTTGTATTATCCCTTATTTCAGTCCTAGATTTGACTGCTGCTTTGAACTGAGTTTGATAGTCCTTAAGTGTAATTTTTGCTGCAATAGCTTGCAAATGATGAGGGAGAAGAAGCCAGTTTTGTTGTCTACACACAGATGACATCTTCTAACTGGCAACATCTGTCCTGAAAATTAAACAATATTATCCTAATGATAAAAGAAGGGGAAAGCCTTTGTATTTTATATATTGCTGCCATCTTTACTGAATGCTAAATGAAAATATTTCATTGGTGAACAATGTGTAATGGTGTGCAGCACAAACAAAAGGTGACAGTTATTTAATGAGGATAAATGCAGCAACACAGAGAAAGGATTAGAAGCATTCCAAATAGATCTAAGGACAAAGAGCAGAGCATCTTTATCTCAAAGGAGGCTGTAAGGTGGAATAAGAAATATGCAAATAGAGGCCTTGTGGAGCTACAGCCTGAGCAAAGACAAACTGGAACTGGGGGGATTGATGGTACATAATGAGTCCAGCCTTGGATGAGACCCCTAGATGAACTATGGAGCTGGCAAACATGATATTAAAACACTGCAGGAAAGTGAAGACAGCTTCCCTCAGCATTTATTCCATCATTCTTTATCAGGGTCAGTAAAACTGGGCTGAAGTGACATTTGTCAGTAGTCAGAAGTGCAGGAGATGGATGACCACAGGGAATGTTACTTTCAAAAGGTTGTAAAGAGAGGGAGGGAGATGAGAAGCAAATGCAGGTTGACTGACTTTTGAGTCTGCCTGCTTAAGTAAGATACTTCACACTCTGGGAATACTGGTGGAGTGATTTAAAAAGAAAAAATATCTGGATTACTAATAAAGCCTGCATTTTATGATCATATGTCTTAGTTAATAGAGAGCTCAAAGCTTTTCCAAAGACATTATGGGATTCTGTTGCTGGGCAGATTCTGTCTTTGCTGAAACAGAGCTGCTGTTTCAGCCTTTTAGTTGGAAGAGGAGTCACCACATGAGCTGCTGGTTTTCATAGAACCTGTAGGAAAAAAAATGATTATCTAAAAAAGCCTCTCCTCTGATTTGGCTGATTTTGAAATGGACTCAAACCATGTTGGAGAGCAGACACACATATACACGTTGGAAAGCAGACACACATGGTGTGTACTCTGTGATTTACTTCTACAGGAACCTGCAAAGTCAAATAGGAGTTCGTTTCTAGAGATGAAAACTCAGTGAAAAAAAGAACTGAAAATAGAAATCATACTGGTTTAGAGATAGCCTAAGACTACTTCATGAATAGCTTGCTTTGGCAGCAGTCACATTGGCTGAAAGAAAAACAAAATAAAGTAGCACCTTCTAGACCTTCCCTAGCAGGGGTTGACAGGCATTGTGTTAACCTAGGTCTGTTTCTCAAGTTGGATGGATGTTAATTGATTTGTTTTCCACTTTTAAAGCACTATTTTGAGCACACCTGATTGTTAAAAGTTTTAAATGAAAAGCTGTTCAGAAAATAAGTGCTTGTTAACATTTTTGCCTCCAGCCAACAAGAAGAAAGAGAAGGAACGTCCTGAGATCTCTCTTCCCTCAGACTTTGAACACACCATTCATGTGGGATTTGATGCTGTCACTGGAGAATTCACAGTGAGTAACTGCTCTATTTCATGCTTACCAGAACTTCTAGTTCCTTGATGGTAAAATAACCTCCTATTGCCAGAAACATCAGATCACAGCAGCCAGGCTGTGAAGAAAGAGACTTTAATTTGTTGGGCTTAGGATTTGGAGTGTTTAACTTGTGATTCAGGCTGCCTTTTTTTTTTTTTTTCTCCAAGAATTGTCAGCAGAGTGTCTGTGGGAAATGAAAACTAGGAAGAATGTAGGTGTATGCTTTTACCACTCCCCCAAGCTGCTACAAGGGTTGGTTATTCAGTGTCTTTGGGAAAATATCAAAAGCCCCCCCCTACATGCATAGTAGACAACCAGCCTCAAGTGCAAAGTCCAGCTCTCTGCAGGTAACCCTTGGAAACACTCAGAAAGCTGCAGCACTGTGGAAGTCCATTCATTTTAATTTAGTATCCTTCAAAATATGTTTATACACTAGGTGATCAGTGTTTCTACCCTTTATGTATTAATAAAATAGCTGTCAGCTTTTGCTTGTTGAATATCAACAAAATGTTGGGAAAAACGAATCTGATGGAAGCTCTTTGAAGTGTGCAGGGGGCTTCAGAGCATTTTTTCTCTGGTTACTAGTAGGATACTGAAACCATTGTTCCTTGAAGCTGAGATGGCAGTGAGCTTACCTTTTGTTAAGCTGTGGAGGTGAGAGGGAGCATTAGCAACTCTGCTGCCACCAGCAGTGCCCCATGAGCTGAGTGGTCAGACTGAGTAATCACCATTGTGGACTCTGCTAGTGCTGACTGGCTGCATACACCAAGGAGGATGGGACAAATCATTTGCCTGGGCAAAGGATGGCTAATTTTCAGAATTTGAGCCCTAAATGTGATTTATTCATAATTTTTTACTTTGATTGCTACTTTTGTTTCACAAAGACATTTCAGAAAGCTGGAAACTTTCTGTGTCCTACAGTTGCAATTGCAACAATAGGAATAACAGTAGAAGAAAAAAGACACATTTAATTACAGCATGTCTTCAAAGGAGTAGTGAAATTGAATTATCCTTAGTAATTAGGAAATACAGCTACATTTAAAATAAGTGGACTAGTTAATTAGGATTTTTAAAATAGATGTCATAAAATCTTCAAATTTTATTCAATGCCGAACCCTAGGGCTTGACTAAATGCATGTTTAAGAAGCCTAGATGTGGTCATTTTTGATCAGAAGCTTTGCATAAAGCTTTTAAAATTGTGTTTTCCCTGCTGTCTATCCTGATTTTTCCTTTTTTTTTCCTTTCTTTCTTTCCCTTTAGCCACTTTATTGTTCAGATTAATCTTCAATGCCATTCTCCTTATCCTCATGTCATATTATGTTACTTTATGCTTTTGTTTCTCTCCTTTTTGTGTTTACATCACTTCTTGTCTGTCTTCACCTTCCCACTTTCTTTTTTCTTCCCACTGGACATTCAGCTGTTCTTATTCTATATCTGTTCTTCCTTTCAGCCTTCTACCTTTATTTCTATCCTGTGTTTGAGACTTTTTCCTTCTGACTCCAGGCAAACACAATGGGTCACACTCATTTTCTCTCACAATCTGACAGGTGGTCAGGGTCCTGGTTAGTTCATGTCCCTGCCAGCTGGAACAGAAAGGAGAGACATCAGGCTTAACACACTTCAGTTTTAAGCACAAGCACTCACTATCTGTGTTTCAGGATCAAGGTTTGGATAATTTTGAATGTTTTTATTATCTACCAGTGTTTCAAAACAGTCTCTAGCATCAGAGACCTTTTGGGTTTTCTCACTGTCAGATGCCACCAACACAAAGCAAATCAAATCTACATGGCTAAATAGGTCCAGCTTTGTTGCTGTCGCACAGTTTCTTTATAAATACCTTCTTCCCTTCCCAAACAGTGGATGTGAGATATCTGCTGGTTTGCAGTTACACATGTTCCTGAAGTGTGGAAGTGCAGTGCTGCAGTCTGAGAAAGCTGCAACCAATTCAAAACTAACCAAAGGGACAGGAGACTTCCCATGCACAGCTTGCCAGCACAAAGCTTAATACTGTAGTCCTCAGTGGAGTCCTACATCAGTCAAAGGAAGGGAATTTTTGCACCATTAGGAACTAGACGTTGGTCCCAACTAACCCCAGATGCAGGCATTGCATTACACAGTACATTAGGCATGTTTGGTTTGTCCCAACCTGGATGGAACCTGTGTATCAGCTGGGTAGTCTTGTGGTTAGTACATCCTGCAAAGGGACTGCCACTAGCCCATTCCATGTTCTGATATTCCCACTGTCTGCCTCTTTCAAAAGTTTGGAAGTGCCATGGGAGCATCCAGTCAATGTGCAAAAGTGCAGGGTTTTTTTTGTTTTGAATTACTGCAGCTGTCATGCCAGTAGTGCCTGCTCTCCTGGTTATATGCAATGCATTGGGCCATTTTCTGACACCAAACCATTGCCCCCAGCTGCATCCCCTGATTGCTGTTAGATGCATCCTAATGCACAGTTGCATGGACTCCTGAGTTCTGGCTTTCAGGCTTCTGCACCAACCTGTGTTGTCCATCATGAAAATATATTACATCTCCATTTCACTGTGCTTGGAGCAACCACATTTGCTAAGAAATAGGGCTTTTAAAGCAGAGAATAAAATTGATTGGAACTGTTGGGTGGGAGCATGTTGCTAGAGCTCTATGTTCCTTTATTTGAAAAAGGATTTTCATTTTCTGAATGAAGGGCAGTGTGGTTAGCAGGCCTTTGAGGTGTGTTTTTTTGTAAGGCATGCATGTTTGAAACTATTTTCTCATTCTCAGCCTAGAAGAAAATGTGGTTACCCACCAAACTTTTAAGGCTTCTAGATTATGACATTTGTAAGTGGGAAAAGTTGTGGCTGTAGATCCAAAGAAGTTGCACGTTCCTAATCTAATCAAGCATTTCTTTGCAATTGTCCTGATTTTCAGTCTGACACACACAGAATGTTTGTGTTGTGGCAATTCACAGCCTCCCAGATTTCACAATCTGACTTTGACCATCTGCTCTCTTCACTGGTCAAATGGTGATCTCAGGGCTGGAGAACGCCCAGGCCTGGAAAAAACTTTTATAGAGCCATTCAAAAATGGTAATCTGGCTTTAAAACTAGTCAAACAGCAAAAGCCCAGTTCCTTCTCTTTTTTTTTTTTTTTTTGGTTTAGTTTTAAATTGACTGGGGAAAGCACATGTAATTTTCCTAGTCAACTGCCATTAATTCTCAGGAATGTATTTTTATGAGGAGAGAAAAACTGTTTAAAAGCAAAAGGAGGGGGAATGATGCTTCCAAACTTTGGAACAGTTGTGATTTTTCTATTTCCCTAAATCTGCCTTCCTGTAGCCTGTCTACCACCTGATCTATTTGGTATCCACTTTGTAATTCCCATTTGAGATGGGATTTGCCCATTCTGGCCCATTGATTTCCTCCTCCCACCACCTTCTGAGTTTTCCCACATTCTGTTTTAACTTTCTTTTCTTTCTTTATTTACGTCCATTACAGCCAGATCTCTATGGCTCACAGATGTGCCCAGGGAAGCTCCCAGAGGTGCGTCACAGGCCCCAAATGCTTCTTTGAGATGTCATAGCACTGCAGCAGCAGGTTGATGTGTGTGCAGTAGATTTGTTGCTTGGCTTTTCCCACTTTTTTTTCATCAGTCCTAAACTTTGGAGGCCCATGTCACACATTGTTTTGTGGGCAATTTCTGAGAAGAAGCTGTATGGAAGTAGATCGGGGTGGCACGTTTTTCCTTCAGTGAGCCCTGCAATTCGCTGGTCAATGTCAGCTGTGCAGAAAGGGGGAAATGACATGCTGGAATTGTCCTGGATAACTGAAGCAAGTTCTCATCGATAGAATTTCAGTGTGGAGCTGGGGCTTTTAGTAACTGGATAGATTTTCAAATTCCACCTCACCCATAAAATGTCCAAGAATTCATCCAAAGCTTTGGATGAACTCTCAGCCTGTTTTATGAATCCCTGGTTTCTGTATGTTTGCAGTAGAGAATCTAGAAACATCCTTTGCAGCTGTGGTATACCTCAGTGTCATGATTTTGTGAGCTGAAAGGCAGATTCTTTACCCTGCAGTGTTCCCTGGTGTACTGAAAATTAGTTGGATCAGGGTGGGGTTTACCTTTGAATTAGACAGCAGTGATCATTTCAGCAAAATGTGTTTGCATTCCTAAGCATGAAAAGTCCAGTGTAAAGCTCCTAAAAAACACTGTGTTGTGCACCAATAGAGAATAGTCTTGTTATGTCTGCCCTGAATCACCAGGCAAACAAGCTTAAGCCTTAAATCATTATTCCATGCAAGAGCAGAGTTGATTTCCAGAGAAGTTTCATCCCCTTTTTTTCCTTTCACAGTCATTACTTTATTTTTATAAAGTTGGGTCCTGGTTTTAGCTATATTTTTGATAGAGAAGAAATGATTGCATCTAATTTTAATTGTAAGGTGTCAATCAAAATTTCTGCAAGTAATCTTACAGCAAGCATGGGATCTTGGTAAAGATCTGTGAGGCTGCAGATTTTAAATACTCTAAACCCACTTTGCTTCCACTCAATGTCTACAGGGCATTCCAGAGCAGTGGGCCAGGCTACTACAGACCTCCAACATAACAAAACTGGAGCAGAAGAAGAACCCACAGGCTGTTCTAGATGTTCTCAAATTTTATGATTCAAAAGAAACAGTTAACAACCAGAAATACATGAGCTTTACATCAGGAGGTAAGTTGATGTCTCCCAACAGGGGAGGTCAGGCTCCAGAATGAGTCAGAGCAAAATCCAACATCCAAGTTGTCAGGAGGCAACCTAAACCAATTCTTCATTGTGGAATACTCCGGAAATTAATTCCATTTCTCCTTTTCTTCCCCCCAAATGTCATTGAAATGGTAACCTTGCTTTGTTGCAGGGTTTTAGAACTAACCAAGATTTTGTAAAAAAAATGCCATTAAGATGGCATTAGTTTGGTAGAGTGCCTGTTGACAGCCTCAGCTAGAAATGAGGGTGTCAGTAGCAGCAGGGTGCAGACAGCATTTGGAGTGTCACCTGCTGGGGTTCCCTTTCCTCCACAGGATGGCCTCTGGATCTGGAGTCTGTCATTTCCTCAATTTGAAGGTTCAACCAAGACAACTTCCAAAATGCAGAAACTTCTCAGAAGTCTTTCTGAAAACTGTGCACTTACCTCCAGGATTGAGAGAACCATCTTTTTTACCCAAATTTCATAATTAAAGGGTTTGGCTAATTTGATGCTTACTGTGTGCTAAAATAGCAATTCCCTTTGTGATGAAATGCAGACTTCATAACAGTTCATGTGTGCTCCTGAACCCAGGAGCTGTTCTCATGCTTTGTCAGAATAGAGCTGCTATGGCTAAGAAGAGTTTTGAGGAAGAACATTTCCATTTTCTGTGGAAATGTTGTCAGCAAGCTAATGAGAATGAATGCATGCAGTTAATTAAAAAAAAAAAGACCACAGGAAGAAAAGGAGAAAAAAAAGAGAAAGCTGCTTTAGCACTTGGGTGGAACAGAAGCATTGACAGTTAAATTTGCATTTTCTTGACCAAATTTTATTTACTTTATTTACTAGCAAACAGGCCAGAAATAGACAGTCTGGAATTTTGTCCTGTTCTCTTCCTTGGTGTTGCTCCTGAAGGGATAGTGTGGAAGAAGAGCAATCTCTATTTGGGTTGACTTGTTCTGTGGGATTCCCCAAAACAGGCAGGGTTTTTTCTTAGCAGCATCTGGTTCATTCTCCTTTGCTCATTGCAGATAAAAGCGCCCATGGATACATAGAAGCCCATCCCTCGGTGAGTGGGAAAGTAACCTTTGATGTTCTTAATTTTTAAGAATTGTGGAGCAAGCCATCAGCTTTCCCTGGCTGATTTATGATTTTCTATTTGAGTTCTTTTTAAAAAGGTGAAAGTCTGGTTTAGCAGACAGAAGATTGCTGGTTTTAGCCATGGTGTATATAATTCACAACAATATGCAGCACCACCTAATGAGCCAATTTTAATTTAGTTTTAAAAATCTAGAATGCGATTTCCATCGAGTTTCATGATTTCTCCCTAGTACAGCTGGATGTATAACTGAATATAAATAAGGTTATAATTGATATGTAACTCACTGGAACCATTGAAGGAAAGTTTTAAATAACCATCCACTCCAATTAATGCTGGATTGCAATAGCAATCCCAGAGATGTAGGAGTGGCATACACATTAATACTGACCAAATTTATTAGGGTTATTGTTAGTGAATTAAATAGCAAGTGACTGAATGGGGATTTGGCTTTTATTTTAAAGTGTTAAGCAGCTTCATGTGAGGTTTGTGATTACACTGCCAACTGTGTATAATGAAATGAAAATCATCTTTGAATATTCACACTTCAGGTTTCCAATCAATGCCATTTCCCTTATCTTTAATAAAACACACTTCTCAGAGGAAGTGTGATGTTCACCAGAGCAGAGGAACCCTTCCCAGTAGCTTTTCCAGTGGATATGGACACCTTGGCAGATGTTGTAGTATAATTGTCTAGCAGACAGAGGCAGTAGTGAGACAGTCAGCATGACAGCTTTCCAAAATTACCAACTCAGCTCTCCCTGTTTGCTGTGGGCTTCCCTTACTGCTATTTCTACTGGACCAAAGGGATGGCATTTTAAAGAGAGTTGCAGTCAGATGTGAATATGTTGAATGGTGCCTTTGATTTGCATCACTTCTCCTAGTGGTCTCTTGTAGCCAGCTTTAAAGCAGTTGGTAAAAACTTCAGAAGATGCATTTTCATGTTTTTGTTTCACCAGCAAATTTGGGATGACATAGTATAACCCCCTGCCTCTGAGCAGCAGGTGGGACTGGTGGAGTTCAGTGCACCTATTCCTTTAAGTGTTGTGCTGGGTTTAAGTTAAACTTTAGGCCCATAGGAGCAAGTGCATGTCTAGATTGGCCTCTGATGTCTGGGAAGACAGGGTGGAGGTAGCTGTCAGAGCTTCAAAGTGCCAGGATAGAGACTGTCACTCACTGTACTGTCTGTCCACAGAGCACAAAAACGGCATCAGAACCTCCTCTGGCTCCCTCTGTGTCTGAAGAAGAGGATGAAGATGATGAAGAGGAGGAAGATGACAATGAACCTCCGCCCGTTATCGCCCCACGGCCTGAACACACAAAATCAGTAAGTGCCAGCTTTGTTAGCTCTGTGTTTGGTGCAGTGCAGAGCTGCAAGTTTGTGATCAGACAGCACTGAAGGGGCTGAAGGTGCTTGGGTGGAAGTCCTGCCATGACACAGAGCTTCACTCCAACCACTGACAGTGAGAAAATCGGGCTTGAACTTTCACATTCTTGTGTCAGTTTCTGGGATTCTGGTGAGGGCCATGGCTTTCTTTTTATATCAGGTAAGAGGTACTTTAATGTCCTTTAATGCTACAGGTGTGAAAATGAGCCACTTTGTCCAGCTGTGCAGGCTCCCTGTCAGCAGTGATAGCAGTCCAAAGATGCAGTTCATATCCTGGCAAGTACATAGGACACACTGTCCTCTGGAGGTACCTGCCCCTCTCCATGGACTATATCAGCAAATCCATGAAAATTGAACATGAAACTGGCCATGAACTTGTAACCTTTCATTTTTGCTTGTTCAGTTTGAGAAGTGGACAGCAAAACCAGTTTTAGAGTCCTGGATGTGGCAGACATGATCTTCCTAAGGGTTTGTACTTGGAATGTGATGTCAGGGGGATTTCTGCCAGCCACCTTTCTGACACAAAATAATTTCTTGTCACAGATCTACACCCGCTCTGTTATTGAACCTGCCGCTGCACCAGCACCAGCTAAAGAAGCCACCACTCCCCAGCCTGAAAACTCCAACACAAACACCCTGTACAGAAACACAGACCGGCAGAGAAAAAAGTCCAAGATGACAGATGAGGAGATCCTAGAGAAACTGAGTATGTATTGGATATTTTGAGTCTGCCAGAGCAGTGTATTTGCTGCATGTGTCAGCATTAGCTGTACCAAATGTTTCTTGCAGTTTAGTGTCACAGAGTCATTTACAACTCCCTACAGAAACTGTTGTGCTTTGAGGCAGCAAGAGAACACTTGGGGTGTTCCTGCTGCCTCTGAGGGCAGCTGGGACTGGGTTGGGTTTGCCTGAGCTTCCTTCTGTGCATAAGGCAAAACCTGAGATTGTTTCTGGTTGAGCAAAAAGCTGTGACCTAGTGAATGACATAGGGAACTCCTGTGTACTAATGGCCAAATGAAACAGAATGTTTGGGTTCCTGAATTCTCTCTGGACTCCTAATTTCTCATGGTTCATTGGAGTCAAAATACTTTGCAAAAATCTGTTGGGTTTTTGTTTGTGGGAGGTTTTTTCTTGGTGTGGATTTTTTACCAGTAGACAACTGTAGCATCAAGCTGGTCCCTTCAGCCTCAGTGAGCTTTCCTTGAGACAGTTACACATTTTCCAGGTATTCTCTTGCTGTCCTTTTCATAATTGTTATTGGTCCTTCTGCAGTTTGTTTTTAAGAATTTTACAGTTTTGTCAGTGAGCTCTCCTTTGGAAGAAGCATCTGCTATATGTTCCTCAGATAACAAGGCACTTTCTCATGGCTAATTCCCAGCCAGTTAATACTCTTAGATTCCTGACTGTTGGCCCCAACCCCTGTGCACATCATTCTCTACTGAAGCACATCAAGCCCTTCCTGATTCTGCAGTGCAACCAATTGAATTTGCTTCTTGCATGTGATAGCTGCCAGTGCAGTGTTCTCAGATTAAATGGTTGGGTTCAGAGCAGAGCCAGGTTATTCTGTGTCTACCATTAATTGTTAGTAAAAGAAGCAGATTGATCTACACCTCCTTCTGTCAGATCACAATGCCAATAATGTGTCTTTAATGGAGGCAAATGCTTGTAATAGAGTGCTGTGTGGCTGTGGCCTTTTCTCAGTGGTTGCCATTGCTCAACCTTCTTGTCATCCTTGCCCTGGCACTGATGGCTGCTGTGCATGCACAGGCTGGAGCCTTCCTTAGCTGTGAGATTTCAGCTGCTTGCAGAGTTTCCTGCATCCTTACCAGGCTGACATGAATCTCAGTGACATTAGGGAGTATCCAAGGGATAAATTCAATAGCTTTAGCTGAGGCCACAGTGAAATAAATTCCAGAGCAGGTGGTTACCTGCAGGTATGTCAGCTTCTAGAGAGAGGAATTCTGCTTCTTCAGCTGATGTTAAATGTTTGAGGCAGGCTTCTCCCCTGAGATCTACAGGTACCCCGCATCCATGAGCTCAGGTGTGTCTATCATTTATTCAAGCTGCTATATATGCCAGGTTGGGACTGAGCCCTGGAGTTTTGGGGAGTTGCATCTTTGAAATGTTACATGCTTTTTCTTTCTTAACAATTTGCTACCAAGTGAGCAAGGTCTGAATGTCTGCCTTGGGCAAATTGTGATGTGGGCAGTGAAAATATTTCTGTGCTTTCATGAAGCTATCTGAAAACAGGCATGATGCTTTTTTATTGAGTCTGAACTAATTATATTTAAGCAATGTGGTGCTTGTTCTATTTTAACTCGCATGACTGCTCCACCTTGCCTACTTCCCTCACAACTCTTTCTATGCTACTTTTAGGAAGATGTCCCCTGCTCTCTTTTATCTAAAATTGCTTTCATAATTCTTTTCTGCTTGAAATAGCTTGAGTTCTTTTAGAGCTTTTAGAGTTTTATTAGTGAGTAAAGACTGTAATATTGAGATAAGATCAAGTAAAATTCTGTCTGTAATGAAATCATGACTATGTTCCACTGATAACTATAAAACAGAACTGGCCCAATTCAGCTTTGTTATCCACTTAATTTAGGACTTGATAAAGTAAAGTGCTTAAAGACATCAAAATAGCTGATAGGTTTATCTTTTGTCCAGAGCAGGGAGTGCTTGTCTGAGCAGAAGTTGTGTACCTGTCGCTTTGTTAATTTTAATGCTGTAATGCTTGATGTACATTGGCTTAAGTACAGGGAACCAGCCACAAACAACTGCCCTGGAAAAGCAGCTACTCAAGTCTTGAGGAAAAACTCTGGAAATCTGAACTTCAAAATTAGTGGCGAATTTGGAAAATAATTTTTTAAAATCTTTCTTCTTCAGTCCTTCTCTGTATTCTTTCCTGAAGTAAATGAACTTCCATGAACTTGTGGTATCTGTTCTAGTAGATACACCGTTCCATTAACGTGCTGAAAATAGCACCCAGCCAGGCACTGGCAGCTCAGAGTTTTTCCTGTTGTCCAGCCCAGCGCAGAATTGGAGCACTGTTTGATTTACTGCTGCAGAGCTCATGGGGTTGTGAGCCACAGGGTGTGAGTCAGTCCCATGTGGGACAGTCTGGCCCCGTCACCCATTGTGGACTTCATGCCACTGACAGCTGAAGTTAAACATTTGGAGATGCCAGGAATCTGATGGGAAGGAAAAAAAGCAGTAATTAGGATGTTTTGTCTGTGTCAAATGAAAGAGCCAAAATCTGATAGACTCAAAAAAATGGAAAGTCCTAATTCAATAAACAGTACTGGTTTTTCTGGTCTGGTAGTTTCCTTGATAGAATGCAAACAGTGAAGCCTGAGGTGGTGGCTCAATGCAAATGTCTTCTAAGCACTTACCTTGGAATGTACATCACAGAAATAGTTTAAGAAGATGAGTTCAGAAGGAAAGACTTCAGTGATCTGCAGCTTATTTCCTTTGACTGATCTGGCTGTATCCCTGTATTACAAATCCAAACACATGTTTGTTTACCTGTGCATCCAAAACAAAACTCGATGATGCACCATTCCCTCTTAGTAGTCACAAACTCCTCTTCCCCCTGTCCAGGCCATTTGTATGGAGCAGAGAGGTCTTCAGCATCCAAATGGGCATCTGACTGGATGCCTGGCCAGGAATCTGCCTGCCAGCACAGTGAGAAGACAGGGCATCAGCACCATCTGGTACACTCCCTGCTACAGCAATTTTGCAGCCCTTGGCAAGAGTGTTAATGGGAGCTGCAGGAGAAGAGGTTTCCTTTGCCCCACATGCTCACTCCCCTTGCCCAGTGCTCTGGGAATGCCAGCCAGGGCTGATGGCAGGGTGAGCCTGCCTGCTGCCTGGGATGCCCACACGGTCTCAAGTGCCCTGTAGTGGTCCTGCCCTGCTGTGCCAACCTGCAAGAGTCAGGTGGATTGGTGTGTCAGGAACCCAATCTGGGAAACCTTCAGAATCTGGTTAACTTTTCATAGTTTCATCTCACTGAAACACATGGCATAAAGAAAAGCTCATTCTGCTTCTCTAGAGCAGGTCTTCACTACAGAATAACTCTTCAGTAGAGAAGAACATGACTAGAGGACTCTGGGGCTCCCTTCTAGCTGGCTAGAAGGAGGGATAGGAGATGAGAAGGTATAAACCTCCTGCTCATGCTGTGGAGCTTGACCATCCCACTGCTGCAGCATGGAGCTTCTGGGAGGCAGCAGGCCCTTGTTTGATCTGTCTTCTGCATCATACCAGCTGGGCTCAGGATCAGCATCCCTTTGGGCAGCTGTCTGTGTCACACCAGCACCCAGGAACACTGCTGTCCTTGTTACCCACCCTGCTGGTTTCAGGAGAACATGAACAGTGTGTGTGTGGTGGTGAGAGGGCGAGTCCAGTGTGAGTGATGGGGCTGTGTCACACTGAAAACCAGCAGTGTGGTTCTTGAAATTGTGCAGAGCAGGGATGTCTTCAGAACAGTAGTCAGCCTGGAAACCAGCGATGGGGGCCCTGGTTCTGAAACCCCATCATTCTTGATGGCAAAATGAGATGCTGTTCACTGCAAACATGAAGGCATTCTTTTGGCAAACTGTTGAAAGGTTGAGATGGTCTCCTCCTCTCCTGGAAGCACTTGCAATACTCTTCCTGTTCCAGAAATGGTACCTGCTCATAAAAAAGTGAATAGAAGGTGCATTTAATCTTCAGAAGTAGTAAACCTTGTGTTGAATCACAGTGTGTTTATTTCCAAGAAAATACAGGCAGAGTTGTTATAGCTCTCTTTAATGTTTGTAGCGAACAAACACTTGCATTGGTGCCTCTTGTTTTCTGATCTGTGTCTGTTCTGGATGTTTCTCCTTGTGTTCAGTTTCTTGTCAGGGTAACCCTAAAGGACTGTAGCAAATCGGTGTTTATGGAGGCCATCTGTGCTGTGGAGCTGCCTCTGTTGCTGTTGTTACCCAACTGACCCCAAATGACTCAAAGCCCCAGACAGTGGGGCTGCATTTCGGATCTGCTGGAAGGTGGAATCTCTGGTTTGAAGTGAGAATCTTGCATTTTGTTTCTTTCAGGGAGCATTGTGAGTGTGGGAGATCCTAAGAAGAAATACACTCGATTTGAAAAAATTGGCCAAGGGTAAGTCATATCCCAGTTACTTGTGCAAAACCATGGGCCTGGTATTTTGCTGATGGAGCATCAAGCATGAAGATAGGCAAACATGTTCTGATGTGATCAGCTTTAGATCCTCCTGTCTCTCAGTACTGATCAGAATTTATAACTGTGGTCAAAAGTAATTGAAAGACAACTTGATACTGACAGAATCTCATCTGCAGCAAGGAGAAAGGCCTGAAGGATCTGTTGTCCCTCAAGTGTGTGGCTCTTGTTTGCTTATTTTCTTAGGAGAAATCATTTTTGTATGTCTCTAAATAATATGACCATGCTGAAGAAAGGAGAAAAAACATGATTACCTAAAAGAGAAACATACCATCTGATAGCTGTCAGCTCTCAGTAATGTTTATTTCAAATATTTGCTTTAAACAATATTCAGTGGTCAGGCTTATAACCACATAGTTTAGAAACTGAAACCAGAGATTAAATAATAAGCTTTTTTTTTCTATCAGGGGCTGTAAAACCCAAAAATTCAGTAATAGACACAGTGCTAATGCACTTCAGAGGAAGATAAATCATCTACCTTGTGGCAGATCCTTTGTGGATCCTGCAGGTTCTAGGCATTTATTGAAAATAATCACCCAAGCCATTCGCTTTTGAAACCCAGCTTTGCTAACTGTAAATACTGTAGGTATCTGACTTGCATTTTAACTATGGGCTGCCTGCACCATTGGTGTTTCCTTGGCAGTGTTGTTCCAGGAGGACTGGCACCATCTGTGTAATGCCAGGCCACTGCTGGCAGTGGAGGACAGAAGCTGTTTTCTGGCATCAGGAGATATTTTTCTGCCTTAACTGTTTGTGAGCTCTGAGCTCAGAGTGGCCTGTTGCTAACCTGGAATAGTTAATGTACTGCAATGAGGCTGACACACCCATGCCCTTTCTCTGGCAGGTTTATCTTAGATCTCTGTGATTTGGTAGGGCCTTTGTGGGAAGGCTTTTATGCTCCATTATTGTATAAAAACCCTTTCTCAAATTCCAACTTGCTTCCTATTCAAAGCTTTAGTTCTTGCTGTCATTTGTAAAATGTCAGTGGAAACTTCAAGCTGTGCCTGTCTCTTAGGAAAGGGGTGTCAGCTGAACAAGTGAGAGCAGAATAAACGTGTGTGAAGCAGATTATTGCTGTCACTGTGAGAACGTGACCATCACCCTCACGTGGGAGTGAGCTTGCACAAAGGTGCCTTGACAACTGGTGGAAAGACAAGTGGCTGGTATGTGGCCTAAAAGGGTATCTAAATGGATTTCCTCCAGCTTTTAGTGCAGCCTGAAGATTGCATAGTGCTAGTTAAAACTCCTCCTTGGGGAGTAGTGTGCTGCCATAACTAACTCATGCCTCTGACACTGCAGGACAACTTACTGTGATAGGAAAAGATCCTAAAGAGAAAGATGATCAGAAAGGTAATCAAACAGGATGATCAGGAGCACCCAGAGTGCTGCAGGGCTGGGGTTTGGGTGTCTGCAGCAGTGCTGGGCTGTGGCACTGCCTCAGCAGGTGATTTGCTCAGTTAATGCAGGTGCCAGTTCCTGAGCTGCCACCTCTGCAGTGAGTTGGGTGCAGCTGTGCCAAAGACAAGTGTTGGGGTGTTGGAAGGGAGCAGGTTTGTAGCAGCTGCTAATGAGAGCAAGGCAGGGAGATGTATGCTCAGGGAACTGCAGGTAGAGAGCAGCTGCTTATGTGAGGAAGAGCAACTGGCCAGCACATTGCACTGCATGGCTTCACACAGCTGGGAAGTTACTAAAGACTGTGATGGTTTTACAGCCACTTGGCAGTGAACAGTAGTCAGCAGGCCTGTGCTGCAGAACAGGTCAGTGCTGAGTCCCTGTTTTGTCCTCTGTCTCCAGCTGAGGACTGAAAATGTTGCTGACACCAGAGGAAACTTAGTTTTAACTAGCACTTGATAAAGAGGTTGTGTTTGCTCAAGCAGTGTTAGCTCTTGTAGCAAGACAAATTAGTCTGGAGCCATGAGCAGCCTGGTTAGTACTGCACTGCACACAGTGACACAGATCTAATGGTGAATGCTGGCACTTGCCTGACTGCAGTAAAGACCAGGTGCTGCAGGACAGATTAAAAGTTACTGGTGAGAAATGAGTGGCTTAGAAGTGAAAGTTTGTAATGCAGAATCGCAAAGCCTTTGCATTTAATTGGCAGCTTCACTTAAATTACCTTTATCTAAACTCCTCACAAGTAGGTGGATTGGAGCATTCCAAAAGCATTCTAATTTCAGGAGCTGTTTTGAAATAAAGCCTGATACGACTTTGCTCAGGAGAATCATCACAGTGTTAGCAATTCTGAATAAATGTTGTTGACTTCTTATGAAAACAAATTGGATTAATCTTGTCAATTAGTCATAGGAAAATGCATTTGCCTTTATATTAAAAGTGTGCATAGCATGCCCAATGAGAATATTGCTCTCAATGCAGACATGAGGTCTCTGTTGAATTAAACTGCTTCTGAAATATTTCAGCCTGCAGGTAAACAAACAAGCCAGGGGATCATGTGAGAAGGAGCAAACTCATTTTGGCACTTTCAATCACTGGGACACTTGCAGGATGCACATTCCTGCTTGTGAGATTTCCCTCCCTGGCTCTCCATTGCCTCACTGCCCCTGCAGACAAGGGCTTCTTAAGTGATGGCAGTGTAAAACTGTGGTTTAGCTCAGAAGGAAGCTAAACTTTTCAAGCCCCTAGATGCTTTGAAACCCGAAGGATTTGCCTCTGACTGGGGCTTTTTCAGCTCTTCATGTCATTATGGGGAAGAACATCTTTGAAGGAAAGGCAGATGGTAAACCAAACCCTACCCTGTCTAGTCTGCAGATGAGCACACTATTTATTTCTGGTGGCTCTACAACACAACCTATGTGTGCCACAGAAGCAAGACAGGGACACCATGAAGAGTCCTTCATGTGTTGGGCGCACTCAACAGAAGCAGCTGCCTGCAGTTCTTGACGCACAAAGAATCTCTCTAAGTATCCTCTGTTCTAAGTCCTCAATTTGTGTGTGAAATAATAGATGCCTTAACCTGCTCTAGCTGTGACCTTGCAGGATGGATGGAAAATTGTTTACTTGCATGCTGGAGAAAGCTGTATTTAGATCTTTTCCTCAAATGGCTGTCATATGTTCAGGGTTCTCAGAGTGACTGTGTGACATTGCCTGAGTTTGGCAGATGGATTCAATTTAAAGGTGTGAGAAGGCCCAACTGGATTGTGTGTTACATTTCATGGAAAAAGCACACTCACAGACACACAAAAAAAAAGGGGGAAAAAACTAAATTAACCACAGCAAAATGGATAGGAATTGAACATATTATTTAACAGTTTTCGTAGCCACTCCCCCCACCCTTAGGTTTTGAATTAGAATAATGTGGCATGTACACTGGACATTTGCACCAGCCCTTCTTCTTCATGTTGAACCTCAGTTTTCTGTGCATGGCAGAGGGCTGGTGGGCTGCCATGCTGTTGGCTGAGGAGTGGGTGAGCCCTTATAAACACTCCAGGCAGCAGAACTCTCCTGTCTGGGCTGGCTTTCACTTCCAGGGACTGAAGTGTTTCTCAGTGTTTCTCAGTTTCTCCTGCTGTTTTGTTTCTAGGGCTTCAGGAACTGTTTATACAGCGATTGACATTGCCACAGGGCAAGAGGTGAGTGTCAAAAATCCCAGCAGTTTCTGCAGCTGTTGAATGCTTTCCCCTCTGCTGTGGCTGGAGCTTTGGGTGGCCAGTAGAGCTTTCCTGCAAAGGCTGTTCCTCTGAAGCATGGACAAATGTCAACTGGCCAAATCCATCACTGCTGTCTGCAGCTTTTCAGTGAAAGCTCTTTAAGGACAGTGTGGTTTTGTGCCTGAGAAATTGAGCACTTACTGTGGCCCTATGCTTTCCAGCAACACTGGATCTGAGGTTTTAATAAATGCCTGAAAAGGTGCCTGTGGATTCCTAGAATCCATAAGGGCCTTGGTACTCTCTGTGCTTGGCTGGATGCTTCACCCCTAGCTTTTAAGTCCAGTTTGAAGAGATGAATTTTTTTACTTGCTCTGTCTTCAGAAAAAGTTGGTGCTCTCCTCAGTATTGTTGATCCCACCCTGGTACCATGTTACATTATCCCTGAATGTTTTTTATGGAGAGAAATCTGCTGAGAAATCCCAACAAGCTTTTGTGGCAATAAAAAGTAGATAGTTTTTATTGCCAGTATAAATGTATTGGTTCAGAAATTGTTCTGTCTCCGTTCCCCATTATTATTCTTGTTATTTTTCTTGTGGAACAACATCCATAATGTATGTCTGTGTTTGCTTTGTTATGTAATCAAGAATAGCAGGTGATGCAATCAAAAATCATGGAACTGTCCACTGCATGTTCAGTCTGATCTTGTGCAATAGACTACTCAGGTTAATGGTTTTTAATGTCATTTTAGGTGGCCATAAAGCAAATGAATCTCCAACAGCAGCCCAAAAAGGAACTAATTATCAATGAAATCCTGGTCATGAGGGAAAATAAGAATCCCAATATTGTTAACTATTTAGACAGGTAAGTTGTTCTGTATTATCATGTGAATGTTCGTTTACACACTGCAGGCCAAAGGTTAAAAAACCCCTTTGATCACTGCAGAACATGGAGCTCTTTATTTTTTCTCTACACATCTCCAGTGGATGGGAGGAGATTGCATTGGCTCTGCATTAGTCTGTTCTGGCATGCATAGTTTGAAGTCACTTTTCAAAAACCTGTACCAGCCATATCTTACTAAAACAACAGTCTGTCAGCTCCATATTCCAGGTTTTGTTGTTCTGGGTTTTTATTTTTTCAAAGTTGGTCAGATTTTCTGTGTCTTGTGCAAAGTGCTGACAAGAAATTCTTTCCTAGAAATTCTTTCCTTTGGGTGGTTTCTGCTGTTTTCCATTGCTGGGGATGCCAGGAAGACTGAGTTCTTGTTTCCAGAAACACCTAACTTGACAGTGTTTTAATGGCCTTTGCTGTTTCTAAATGTATGTTTTGCAAGGTTTTCCAAACATTGGACCAACTTCTGTCCTCAGTGGTGCACACTCTCCTCCCATGGATAACTTTGAAAGTTATGTTGCCTCATTCCTGGGGTTAGGGGTGGAATTCATGAGTTAAGATGATGAGCTAGCTGGTGGCATGTGTCCTGGTTCCAGATTTATCTTTGCTTGCTTATCTTACTAAGTGCATTCTTCCCTTGCTTGTCACCTAGGATATCTTCTTTTTCCACTGTGCAGATTCCCAGAGCTGTGTAGCCTAGAATGAATGTCCTTTTCATTTTATTCTGTCTTCATTTGCAAGTTACCTGGAGACAAGAATCAGTTGTAACTTATGATTATTCATTAGTTTGGCTGTGCACATGCATCCCCACAGCATTGTTTTCTCCTTTCAGCTACCTTGTAGGTGATGAGCTGTGGGTGGTGATGGAGTACTTGGCTGGAGGCTCTTTAACTGATGTTGTCACCGAGACATGTATGGATGAAGGACAGATTGCTGCTGTCTGTCGAGAGGTGAGGGATCCACTTGTGCTTCTGTTTGCATGGACAAGGTGATGCTTCTGCTTGTGGTGTTGTCATTGTATGGAGAAGAAAGAGCAGCTCCACTGCAGCAGCAGCATTCTGTCTGTGTTTGCAGGGGACAGCCTGTAGCAACAATTGATGTTTCCCTTTCAAAAGCTTCCCCTAGAATGACATGACTGTAACAGGGTTGGAGCAGCAAGCTCTTCCCTTGGCTGCACTGTGTTCTGCCATTCCTCACCACTCCCCTGGAAAGGAAATCTCATAAAACTATTTCCTGTCTCATGTGATGAAATCATGTCATGAATTTTTATCCTTACTTTTCTTTTTTCTCTTACCAGTGCCTGCAAGCCCTGGATTTCCTTCATTCCAACCAAGTGATCCACAGAGACATCAAAAGTGACAATATTCTTCTTGGGATGGACGGATCTGTCAAATTGAGTGGGTATTCCTGGTCACATGCAGCATTCCTGAATGTGGGGTGGGGGATTCCTTTTGAGTGATAGCCAGTTCTCCAGAAGTGGTGCTGGTGGGGGCACCTGGACCCTGCTGTGAGGGCACAGCTGCAATGTGCAGAGAGGTCCAGAGAGAAACAGGGTGTAAGAGTGGCTTTGCTTTGTGTATGGCCCTTCCAGAGTGGAGGGAGTTACAGTCTAAGGCTTCAAGTGATTAAGTAAAAGCCAGTGGATGAAACATGAGGGTTTCTTTAAGTGGCCAATTCCATATTACCTTGGCTACAGCCCTGAGGAAGCACAGCATGGCTGCTTTTCCAGCTAGATTCCACAGTGCATTCTCAGACTTAGAGTGGGGGTTCTTTTGCTTGGTTTTGTAATTCAAGCTGGCTTTAACAGTATTTGTTTTTCTCCTCAGCTGATTTTGGCTTCTGTGCTCAGATCACCCCTGAGCAGAGTAAACGGAGCACAATGGTGGGGACTCCTTACTGGATGGCACCAGAAGTTGTAACAAGAAAAGCATATGGCCCCAAGGTGGACATCTGGTCACTTGGGATCATGGCAATAGAAATGGTGGAAGGAGAACCTCCTTACCTTAATGAAAATCCTCTCAGGGTAGGATGAAATAACAGATACTGTTGTCTTTCTAATTTGTGCCATATTTTGTCTTCCATGAGATAAAATGCCATTCACATCACCTTGAACTGGTTCTACAAAGGCCCACTTCTAAAAATGTTCCTACAGCACATCAGCATCTGCTGTAGGTTTGGTTGCATCTCTGTGAGAAGCTCAGAGGCAAAGTGACATGTACCTGTGCAGAAACTTGCCACTTCAGCCTTCAGTGATGCTTGAAATTTCTCATGCCCTTTGTGAACTCTCTTTGAGCTGTATCTCCAAATGACAAAAATTTTTAAGTGCCATGCTTCTCTGGTTGGGGAATTTTTATGATAAGCATTGGAGCTGTACCTGCAGGCACAAAACTCTCTTCAGTGTCAGACCAGTGCTGATTGATTACCTAAGCCTTCCAGGAAAGATCACTGTTCTAATAATGCAATTATTTATTATCAAACACATTTCTGAAAGTATCTTTTGGCACAGATACTTGTAGTAAAATGGTGTATTTTGAAGTTTTCAGTTTTATCCTAATATCTTAAAATGAAATGGCCAGTTCTTACACCAAATGGGTATGTAGTAGTGGGGGAATGTATACCAGGGTAAAACCTCATGACTGACAGCTGAAACAAAATGCTGCACAGTTAATTCCTGTGGTAATTTATGAGAAAATTAATTATTACCTATATGTATACATACATACATATGTTTTGTTAAGGTTGGAATTAAAATAGAGCATGATCTTTAGCTTTTCCATGCTGTAAGGTTTCTCTGTGCTTTCTCTGATTTTTGGCATCCAGACTGTGTGTTGCAGACTGACAGAAGAAACTACAGAAGGGTCAGGACATATCTCCCAGCTGCTTAAGAAAAGAATACACCAGTTGTACAAATTTCACGCTTTCAATTATACAAGTCTTTCACACTTTTTGAAAAAGGTTCCTGAGTTTTCTTGGAAGACTTCCTTTGGTTTGATAGGTGGCCTGGGGTTTTTGTTTCCAGGCACATATGTGTAGTGTTGCACACTGTGTCACCTTGTTATGGTGGATAAGAAATAAACAGGTTTGGATTCAGAGTGGTGCTGAATAAGCAGAGTGCACTGCAGTGGCAGGGTGGCATTAGGCCTCTGTCACTGCAGCCCTGTTGTACCAGCAGAGACCTTTGCACATCACAGTTTTGCTTCTGTTTCCTGTGAACCCATATTTCACTTGCAAAAAACACAGTTGCCTTGTATAAGGCAGTAAAAGCAGGTGAAAAGAATTAGTGTTGTTGATCTGGATGCTGAAAATTCCCTGTTTCCTTTATCTGAAATGTTGATTAGGACTCCTCAAGAAGCCTCAGGTCAGCTGTTAGAAAGATAACTGGATTTCCTATTTCTGACCAAATTCACAGTCAGATATACTTGAGATCTGTGTAAGAGGTCTCAGCTGCCTCTGAACAGAAGAGCTTATAAAGCAAGACTGCTTTTTACAGCAAAATTTTTTAGCTGATAGCACACACTAGTTGTTGGATTTCTTGTAATATATAGTGAACATTTTTCTTTCCTAGCCCAAGCCACTTTCTCCATGTCACTGAGCCTTCAGTAGTCCAGCTGTCAAAACCTCCTGTTTCCTGCCTGGCAGTGTCTGGGATGGGGATGTCATTAATACGTTTACTTGAGTATTAAAATCAGTGGAGGTTACCATAGGGATGGAATTACTCCTTTTTCTGATGAGACTATTAAAAGTTTTCCCACATAAGTGAAGCTGATTTGGAATTTTAGAGACTGCTGAAAGATAGTTGAAGGTGGGCCCTGTCTGCCAATTCTGCCTTTTCATCATAATATATTTGTGCATGCAGCTTGACATGTCTGTTGAACATGAGACTGCAGATATTTCTGGTTTTTTACCCAAGGTATAAGATGATGGATTTCTTTCTCTTTTTTATCCAGTAACCATTTTTTATCAAGAATAGAGTAAAAAACTTTATTAATTTTGTTTTATGGAAGCCATACTTTAGGGACCAGTGAGCACTGCACAGATGCATTTTGTGTAATAATCCTTTGAAATAATATATTTAGACACACTGACTCTTTAAAATGGCCTGTAAAGCTGTGTCAATACTTGGAGAAGTAAAATGTGCTGGTGTAGTTCCTACTAACCAAGTCAGCCAATGAAATCAGCTGTCAAGGCAAGATCATTTTGATGCTGGAATAGCTGTGACTGCATCAGGGTTTTTGAGGGGGGTTTTGTTGTTCTTGATGTATGAAAGTCATCTCCAGCCCTCTGCCAGGGAAGAAACTGCCAGTGGAGATTGGAGCTTAAAAATAGGGGTTGTGTGAGTATTTCTGGGTATGAATGAAACAGTGTTGTGTGTGCTTTGTCTCCAGGCACTGTATCTGATAGCTACAAACGGGACACCAGAGCTGCAGAACCCAGAGCGACTCTCGGCCGTGTTCCGAGACTTCCTCAACTGCTGCCTGGAGATGGACGTGGACAGGCGAGGCTCTGCCAAGGAACTTCTGCAGGTAGGATGGGAAACAACTGCAGCTGATGTCCAAGGGATCGGTTTTCTAATCAAATAAAGGCATCAGGTGGCTCCCCCACATATTAAGCTCCAGTCTTGGTGCTTTCAAATGAAAACTAAGTAGAATCCTATAATGGTTTGGGTTGGAAGAGACCTTTAAAGGTCATCTAGTCTGACTGATCTCTTAAACTAGGTCATGTCGCTCAGAGCCCCATCTGATCTGACCTTGGATGTTTCCAGAGATGGACTTACACCTACAACATCCCTGGGCCACCTGTACCAGTGTTTTACCACTCTCCTTGTAAACAATTTCTTAATTAGATCAAATCTAAATGGATCGTCTCTGGGTCAAAAACCAGTCCCTCTTGATCTTTTTGCAACAGGCCCTGCTAAAAAATGTGTCCTGTACTTTCTTACAAGCCCCCTTGAAGTATTGGAGAGTTGCAAAGTGAAGTCTCCCCAGGACCTGCCCCTTCTCTAAGCTGAACAAGCCCAGCTCTCTCAGCCTTTCCTCAGAGGAGATATTTTCTGTCTCCTGGTCATTTCTGTGGCCCTGTTTTGTACTTTTGGGAGCAAATTCAGTTTTAATTCTTGACAAAAGAACTGAAGTAGAATGATACCAGGTATGGAAGCCTGAAATAGTGGTGGTGGGGGAGGAACCTGGTAAAAGCAGTCCCAGCCAAGCTGTCAGAGATTTGGCTATGGGAAGGAGGAGGCTTGGGGGAGGTATGGAGGGATCACCGTGAGCCTCAGAGGAGGCCCCAGCTTGTCCCTCCTGTTCCTGTCTTAGAGGTTTCTGCCACCAAGCTCCATTTTTAGAGGTTGTGTCTTTAGAGAGGGGGAACCTGAGTGAGTCTTTTGAGTTTCCTGAAAGGAACAAAGCTCTGGGGCAACAAGCAGCATTCCCAGAGCACTGGCAGGGCAAAAATCCCAGCAAGCTGAAGACACCTGGAAAAATGGATTGACAGGTGTGTGGGCCCTGTTTGCCTGTGATAGCAGTGTCCTGGACATGAAGGTGGAAGTGCAGATGGTCCCCTCAGTCCGGTTTCTGAGTATTTCTCGTAACAAGTGGAATCCTGATTGAGCCTGTGAGGAACTGAGTTTGGAAAGTAATGGTACCTTTCTTGTTTCTTTCCCTTGGGCAGCATCCATTTTTAAAACTAGCCAAGCCACTCTCGAGCCTGACTCCTCTGATCATTGCGGCAAAGGAAGCGATTAAGAACAGCAGCCGCTAGCACTGCAGGTCGGCTTTGTGCCCTGCCAGCTCAGAGCAGGACTGAGAACACAAACTCTGCAAAACCTCAACTCTCATGCTGCGGGACAGATGGATGGATGAACAAACCAACGGTCACAGTCATGGTGGTAGGACCACCCCAGTTCCTCAAGGAGTAAAAAAAATTATCATTTGTCTTCTTCCTGCTTTCTGGCTCCTTAATTTATTTTTAAGATGAATCGGGGCTAAGGACAGAGAGGTAATGACAGAAAATGCTTTGCTGCCTCAATCATTTCCAAGGTAAAGCAAATTCAGTTGGAAGATTCCCTTCCTTCTCACCCTGTGAATAAGCTGTACATTCACTTTTAAATTGTCAGTTCTTTCTTAACGATGTAAAGTCGTGTTTATGGGGTTTTGGTATGGTTTGGAATTGGAAAAGGGCAATTCTTCATTCATCAACTCCAGACTGCCTTTTGAAAATGGCCCACTTGCCAGTTTTTGCCCAGTTGTGGTACTTCTACATGAGGAAGAAAGTGCAATTGCATTTCCAACCAAAAAGGAATGAAGATGGGACAGACAAAGCATCCTGTGGAGATAAGGCGTTCAGCTGGGACTGTGTAGTGGTTCGGTTCTTGCCAATTGCATTTGTACCCCTGACTGCAACCTCTGCCTGGGTGAGAGTCTGACTCAGCTGAAACAGCACCAAGATCAGTCGGTGTGCTCAGAACAGGTTTGTCTGATGCAAAGCTGTCAGAGCAATGTGAGGGGAGAGTGGGCCCAGCCGTGCCTGGGGCTGAGCCCCAGCAGAGCCCTGGCAGAGCCCAGAGCAGCCTGAGCATCAGCAGAGCCAGGCTGGAAGGAGGCACTGGGAACGACAAGAGGCAGCAGCCTGGCCGTGGGTGCCTCTTCCTGGGACAGGACTAATCCTCCTGTCTCAGAGCCAAACTGGGTGGGGGCTGTTCTCCAGGGAAATTGTGGCCGTGCTGAGAAAGGCACAGCCTGGTGGGATTGGCCATCCTGAGTCTCTGCAGGAGTAGAGAAGAGCAAACAGAGCAGAGCGGTGGTGTCTCTTCTGAGGGTGCCTGTTCTTCTCCCAGCTGTCTTGTAGCTCCTGGGAAGGGTTCCTAGTGTCTGTGGAATTCTCAGCAGAGGGGGGGGGACCAGGCTGCTCTGCAGGCTCCTGCACAGGTGAGCATCCTTTAGGCACAGGAGTTCTGCCCTGGAAACTGAGGCTGACACAGGGAACAACCTGCACAGTTCAGATCTGCAGGAACCAGTGCAGCAGCCAGCTCGGGAAGAAAGCGCCTTAAAACCTGGAGCTGTGCACTGAGCAAGAACAAAGGTGTGAAATGCAAAGTGGAATTAATTGCAGAATTACTTGGAGGCACCAGGCCAGCCTGCTTTCTGCTGTCCTACGTAGGGCAAGCATTCCACAATGAAGCTCTTGAGTTCCTGCAAGAGATGGAATTGGGGATGTGCCTGAGGATTGTGCTTGACTAGTCAGCAGATTTGGAAGGGAGCAAAATGCTTTCAGTATGCAATTTGTGTTTTATTTATTTGTTTCTGAAAGATATAGTGTGGCTTCACTCAGTAAAAGCATTTGCATGGCATATTTGTTGCTGTATTTTAGGAGTACAACTCATGCAAGACCTTCAAAACAGCAACTGAAGCAACATGCACCCAGTGAGCAAAAAAACCCCCACAGTAAAACAGCTTTCTGCTCTAGATCTTCACGTTGGCCTGGTCCTGCCAAGGGTTAAGTAGCCTTTAAGCTGCTCACCACCTTCATGTCTGGCCAGCAGGAATGAAGGATGCTTGGGCTGCTGTAGAGTCAGGCCAGGAGCATGTCTGGCTTTGGCATCCTGTTTAGTTGCAGTCCTTGTGTCGCTCGCGAGTGTCGCAAGTGTCCTTACTGCTGCTGCCCTTCGCACCGCAGTGTCCTCGGCAGAGACAGCCCTCCCTGAGTTACCACAGCTAAGCAGAAATTAACTTCTCTTCATTTCCCGGGGAGCACAACAGGTCCAGTTTTTCAGATGGCCAGATAACACACAGCTCTGCTTTCCTGGACTGGGGGAACATCGGGAGGAGCTGAGGGAGCTGCCAGGAGCCCACAGCTGGAGCGACAGTGGTTGACAGGAGCTGGATCAATGGCAGCCAAGCTTTCCCCCCGTAAAAGAAGCCCCTGGGGAGTGAGAGTGGCCAGGACAGGCTAACAGGCCATAGCACAGCAAATGGTGCAGAAGGGTGTGCAGGAAGGTCCTGAAGCCCGGCCAGCTTGACCAGGGAGCAATGGTGTCTACCCAACAGAAAGCCATGGCTTCTCAAAGTCCTGCAGCCACCACAATCCATGCAGTGACCCAGACAGAGTTCTGGTGGGATTGGGCTGCCAGCCAGGTATCCGCTGCAGGCTGTGCCCTGCTCTTAGGCCAGTCCTGGTGGCAGCAGCATGGGTACAGCTGTGAGACGTGCCCAGGAGAGGAACTCCTCCACTTTGGGCCAGAGCTACAGCAGACAGTAAATGAGGGCAGGAGTATCCAAGCCCACTGAGCCCCTTTCCATCATTTACCAGCAGTCCTGGCTAAAGATGAGATCCCACATGATTGGACTGTGGCAAATGTGACATTTTTCTACATGAAGACCTGGAAAGAGGATCTTGGAATTACAGGTCTGTCACCCTGACCTCAGTGCTGGCAAGAGTCATGGAGCAGATCATCTGGAGTGCCATCACATGGCACATACAGAACAGCTGTGGGATCAGGCCCATCTAGTGTGGGTTTGTGATAGGCAGGTGCTGCCTGACCTCCTTTTACAACAGCATGACCTGCCTAGGGGAACAGCTATGGATGTGGAATTTAGTAAACCCTATGTCAGTGTTTCCCACAGCTTTCTTCCGGAGAAACTGGCTGCTCATGGCTTGGATGGGTACACTGTTCACTCTCTCCCAGGGAAAAAAGCCTGGATGGATGGCTGAGCCCAGAGAGCCATGGGGAATGGAGTGACATCCAGCTGGGGCTGTCGGTAGGGGTGCACCAGGGCTGGGTGCTGGAGCCAGTTGTGTTCAGTATCTGTGTCAGTGATCTGAGTGAGGGGATCAAGGGCACCCTCAGGTAACACCAAGCTGGATTGGAGTGTTGATCTGCTGGGGGACAGGAAGGCTCTGCAGAGGGATCTGGACGGGCTGGATTGTTGGTCCAAGGCCAGTTGGATGAGGTTCAACAAGGCAGTGTCAGATCCTGTCACAGCAACCCCCTGCAGCTCCAGGCTTGGGAAAGAGTGGCGGGGAAATGCCAGGTGGGAGAAGACCTGGGAGTGCTCATTGAGAGCAGCTGAACATGAGCCAGCAGTATCCAGCTACCTGAAAAGAGGTTGGAGCAGTGGGGGAATCGCTCTTTTCCCAAATAACAAGCAATGGGACAAGAGGAAATGGCTGCAAGTTGCGCCAGGGAAGGTTTAGATTGGATATAGGAAAAATCTCTTCGCCCAAAGGATGGTCAAGCATTGGAACAGGCTGTGCAGGGCAGAGGGTGAGTCACCATCTCTGGAGGGATTTAAAAAGATTTGTAGATAGGGCACCTGGGGACAGGTTTAGTGGTGGGTATGGCAGTGCTGGGTTGATGGTTGGACTCCATGAACTCAGAATCTTTTCCAACATGAATGATTCTGCTCTGTTTAGAAGACTTTGTTTCTCTTGTGAGGTCCCATTTTTGTCTGTCAGCTCAAGATCTGTGTCTGTAGGAGAAGCTTCCTTGTGAAAGAGTAATTTGGGCTGGAGATGGGCTGCTCTCAATGTGTAAAGCGTTCAGCAGGATGAAATATGTTTGTATTCCTGTGAGAAGTGAAGAAATGAGTGACAGTTTCTGTTTCCAGTATGTATTTTATTTTTTCCTATCCACAAAAGAACAGACAACCATCCTTTAAAAGGAAAGCACTTTGTAATGCACATGTTTGCTGGACATACAGTCTAAATACTTTTGTTGACTAACTACTCTATTTGATTGGGGAAGGGGGGAATTTCCTATTTTTTTCCTTTACCTATAAGTATTTCAGCATCTCTATTTCAAAAAAAAACCCACCACCACAACTTTCCAGAAGACAGCAGGTATGAAAAATAAGGAAATGAAATGGTAGCTTTTTTTTTCTAATCCGTGTATGCCTCAGCATACAGAATATTGTTGGCACTGACTTTTTAAAGACAGCTGCTGTCCTAAGAGGCCTTACTTTTAATTTTATTAAATACTATATTCCTTTTACTTTGCATCAGCAAATCTAGAGATTTTTCTTTTAAAACCAATTCCTGGGAGGCAGACAAGATTCAGCAGAAATAATCTCTGCTGTGGCTGTTTTCAGCATGGACTGTACCTGCCCAGCTGAGACTGAGTGACAGGCAGGGAATGTTCCTGCAGTATCCCTGTGGCTCTGTGCTTGGGACAGTCTCTGGTGCTGATTCACACTCACTGGTACTGAAAGATGGCAGCTCTGTTTGTATCTTCCCAGCCTGGATATTACATGTAGAAAAGACACAAGTACTTTTAAAAAACCCAACAACACAAAAATCCAGTCCTGAGGGGGTCAAGTCTTGTACATTATTTACAGGCTCACAGTGTATATTAGGATTGACAAGAGCATTGGCCTTGCAGAAAGGAAAGAGACAAATACTGTAAAATCTCTGGAGCCACCTTGAGTTTTCTGACTGCTATCCTCAGATCAAGCAATTAGTTATATATATTTTTGAAGTATTATAAATAGTCTGTTTCTGTTTCAAAATGGGTTTCAGACACTTTTATTCCAAGGTTTTAAAAGATTGGTTAATTGTCTTCATTTTTAAATTAAACAGTGAAATGCCCTAACCAAGAACTTGACTATGATTCCCATCCCTGCAGTGAAGACATGAAATTGAGCCAATAGCTCACTGTGGTTTAAATGTGTTTTGGGACAAAAGCATGGTAGCAGTAAAGTCAGGGAAGTTTGAGAAGCACAGAAAAGTTTATTTATTTAAGAAGAAAGAAAAAAAATATAACCATACCTATGTAAAATTCCATACAGCTCCTGCATGCACTCCTGGGAACCTGCACAGGGGTGGATCTTACAGTGCTCTCAGGGTTGGATCCCAAACTTGGGCCGGGGTTACATTCTCACTTCTTGTGTCCAGTGCTTTTGTAAATATATTTATTCTTCATCTTTGGCTAATGATTGCCCACTC